GTATGCAGTTTGGAGCAATAAATGAATAAATTGAAACAACTAAAATCTAGCAGAATGGAAAGATCAACCAACTTTATACTTTTTCAGTTAAAAGCCAAAAACCCAGACCCCTTTGATATCACTATTTCCGGAGATATTTTGTATTGATCGAAGTTATTAAGTTTTTCAAAATTGATTATCATTACAATATTGTTGTTACCATATGAATTATTCTGGTTCCCTGTTCACTTCACTTTGAATCAGTTTATATGGCTTCCCATGTTTTTTTCTGAAACCATTTCCTTTTCATCATTTCTTACAGCACAAGAGTATTCTATCACATTCATATACCATAACTTGTTCAACCATCCCCCAATTGATGGACAGTTCCTTAGTCTCCAGTTTTTTGCCACAACAAAAATGACTGCTATAAATATTTTTGCACATGTGGTTCCTTTTCGTCTCTCTTTGATCTCCTTGGGGTATAGACCTATTACCAGTAATGCTGCATCAAGGGATATCCACCGTTTTATAGATCTTTTGGCACAGTTCCAAATTGTTTTCCAGAATGGTTGGACTAGTTCATAGCTCCACAAATACTGCATTATTGTTCCTATTTTCTCACATCACCTTTAATATTTGTCATTTTTTTCTGCCAGTCTAATGCATCCTAAAGTTCTCAAAACCATAAAGAAATGAATGTATACCAATAACACACATCTAAGAAAAATTAATTCACAGTCCTTTAGAGCAGGAGTCTATGGCCCAAGGGCCAAATCCTCTGGCTTTCATACATCCTGGCTATGAGCTAAGAATACTATGTTTTTTGTTTTTTTGTTTTGTTTTTTTTTTTAACATTTTCAAGTACAATATTTTTTAATGTAAAATTCATTCTTGATTTGCAGGCCTTATACAAAAAGACTACAAGGCCCAATTTGTCAACTCTTACTTTGGACCAAAAGTCCTAAGTTTATCAGCACCCTTGGAAGCCATAGCTTATTACTCACTTTCCCTAGTGCTACAAGAAAACTAAATCATCATAAATTGAATCTTAATGATTGATGACATTGGGTTTTATCAAATTACTTTGTGTTAGATTAGTTAAGTTATTTCATTTTCTCCCTCTTAGCAATATAATAACTACTAACCAAAAAATTAAAGTAGTTTAATATACTGGATTAAACTACTTTAATACACTGGTGTATAAAAGCAGGGTAATTAGCTAGCCTCATTCATTTTAAAAACATTTTCAGGGATGGCTGATCTTAGCCAGTAATATACTTACATTATACCTAGTTTTACTTTATTTATTGAAACACATTAGTCCACAACATCTCCAGATCTAATGGTCATTTTCTTGCCTTATCCAATTCTGTTTATTCAACCAATGTTATAGACTACCTATGTATATGGCCACCTGCTGGCACTATGGAAGATTACAAAATTTAATGACAGCCAAGCTTTGTGTCTGAATGAGCTAGTTGTGTGTTTGTGAACTGGTTCTTGCTTACTCACATAAGTATAAAGGAAGATTTTAAATCATCATAAATTTTTCCCCAAATACTAGAGTTAAAAAATACGTTAGGCCATTTACCTAATTTTTAACCAATAGCATATTTACAATGTTTCCTTTGGATGACTGTTTCCAATCTCATCATTTTTGCAGCTTATATTTGCATTTCTCTCATAGCAGGCTATGTGACAGAGTGAAAAGGGCTTGGGACTCAGAGTTAGGAAGATCTCAGGTCAGTTATATCTGACTCATACTGTATGTGTAACTCTGGATAAGTCACTTAACCTTTCAGTGCTGTAGGCATTTTTTCTAAGATTTTAATAGATGCATTCATCAAAGAAGTTCCCACCTAGGAATTCACACTATCAATGAAATTACAGGTTTAATTTTAATCCCTATTCCTGTTGTTTCTCATTGGATTTCTTGCTGTTGATTATCTAACGATACCTCATGTATTCAGCTGACGTCTTATTAAATGAATGCCTAAATTCAATCTTGTAAATGGTATGAGAAAACAAAAAAAAAATTAACAAATATTCGTCATTTACTCATTCTTCCCATACCATTCTTCCAACTCATCCAAGCAGACAGGCACCCACTTTTGCTCACTTATGCAAGCTCATACTCACAGGATCACATCTAACCCACACAACAAACCCCTCAAAAGTATTCACAACAAATATGAAATTATGCACTGGAAATAGAAATTGGTCTAGTGGAAAATAGTCAAACAAACATGCTTTGTGATATATGTGGTTCTGCTGTTCTTACACTTAGTTGTCTATCTTTTCTTTACACAGAAAGATTACATAGAAAAAATTTACATAGAAAAAATAGCTGAATATATGCAGGGCAGTGGATTGAAAAGTGCAGAAAAAGCTTGAGGACTTTTAGAAGTGATTCTTCCCACAGCTGCCTTTTAGAATCATCAAAGAAAATTTCTTAAAGTTCATGCTTTTCATATATCTCGTCTAATTTCTTTTTAAATTATTTTAATTTAATTTCTGACCACTGGTCATCTGATAATATCTCATGGCTTCAACTTATTTTTTTCTGTTTTAGCTCATGTAGGAGAAAAACGGACATTTTCATTCAACTCAACATAAAAAAAACCATTCATTTAGTGTCAATTGTCATGGAAAGGAACCCCTCTGTTTATAATTTAGTGTATAAGTCAATGTTTCATCGATTATAACAAGTCAAGGCAAGGAAAGCTACCTTTTGAGAGAAAAGGACTTTTAAGGGCAAACAGGTCTCTTAATACAAGTCATTTCTGACAGATCTTTATAATATACAGGAAACACAGAATCAGGCTACAGTTAAAATTGGTTGACCCATTGGTCTTACAGGTCTACCACAAGGTATATAATGTTTGTCTTCTGGTTTGCCTAGTGCCAGAGGTTTCCAAACTTATTTGGCCTACCCGCCTTTTCAAAAAAAAAAAAAAAAATTACTCAGAGCTTTCCTGCCCTTAGGTTAGGTTAATCCTTATTTTTATTCAATCCTCCCCCAAATTGTACCTGAGGCTACTACCACCCCCCAGGAGGTGGTATCACCCATTTTGGGAATTTATGGGCCCTAGCCCAAGATCTATGGACTGTTCTTTTAAAGGAAGCATATTGTAAAGTGGTGATAGAAACCATCAAGATAGACATGGAACAAATGGTTCCGTCAAAGAGATATTAGAGGGCAGGGGATACAATATGTATACAGATGGGTAAATGCAGAGTTCATACAAAATTTTTTCATTGATGGAGGAAACATTTAGATGAAGAAATTCACTCAACCAATGTAAGTTAGAACTATCTCTGCAATAATCTTAGAAAGTTACCCAGAGAATAATGAGTTAAATGACTAAGTCAGCTAGTCATTTAATAGTTACTATGTATATAATATATATTTTCATTTTTATTTAATTTTTAATCTTTATTGAAAGGCTTTTTTTCCTCTATAGGAGGTAGGACATGAAAGAAATTAAGCTGAACTTTAAAAATCAAGTTTGAACCAGGCACGAATATTACAATTGTTAAAATAATGATGTTGCCTTTGTATGCTACTAATATTCTTCATGGTTCCTAGGAAGCAGTGTGGATAGAGCTTTGTATTTGTAGTTGAATAGAATTTGACCTTATATTTCACTTCAGTCATTTGCAAGCTGTGAGACTCTGGTCAAGTCATTTAATATCACTGAACCTCAGTTTCCTCATCTAAAAATGGGACTAATACCTATAGTAATAATATTATTGACATTTATTTAGTATTATAGCATGTGAAGCACTTCATGTACAGTATCGCATTTCATCATTACAATAACCTTGTGAGGTAGGTATAATTATCCCTATTTTACAAAAGAGGAAATTGAGGGCCATAAAGGTTAAATGATTTGCCCATCGTAATATAGCCAAGTCTTCCTGATTCTCAAGCTAACCCTCTGTCATAGGATTGTAAAGCTCAAATGAAATAATATAAAATATCTTACAAACTTTGCAGTTATGCTTTTTGTTAGCTGAAATATTTATAAGACACATCTACCTTCTGCAGATGATATATTAACAGAAAAACATCAGTTTGCTCTGTGTGTATGTGTTTACATAGGTGTGGGTATGTGTAAGAATGTGTAGGATAATTCAGATGTCAATCATTCCTATCATCTTTCTGTAAATGGATGTTACCAGTATATTATTTAGGAACCCAATAGCTGATTCTGTGGGATGATAATCAATAGCAGGTGTGCTACAAATACACCAGTGGGAGAGGCAATTAAATAAACATTACTCATAGCAAAGGCTCACTCATCCCATGTGGAAGGTGGTTAGACAGCAGCTCCACTCACTTTTACACAAGTCCGTTTCAGCCATTAATGAAAAAATTATTAAAGCAATTCAAATCTTCTTCCCTTCCTGGTGAACTCATAGCAAAGATGAGGACATGCCAGGCGTAGGCTTCATTTTTTCCCTTATTCCACATACAATACAGAATTTTACTTACCCTGTGTGACACATAAAAAAGAGGCTTCTCCAAACCCAGCTACTAGAAATGTGCTGTCACTTTGTTGAATAATAATGACAATTTACTTCCACTCAAGAAATGTCAAATAGCAACCAGCAATGAACTAGAGCTGTTGGTGGTAGGAATATGATTGCCATTTCACCTGCCCCATGAGATGTGACCCTGATATTCAGTCAGTCCTGGCAGGTTCAGAACAGACATTCTGACTACTATAGCAACCCTACCTTTGGTGATGCTTTAACAAGCACAATCAGAAAGAAAAAAAAATGTCAAGCTTCTCAAATGTTGGAAATTCAGCTTTCTCAGAAATAGTCTGTTTTATGACAGTTTTACACACACACACAGAGAGAGAGAGAGAGAGAGAATAACTTTTTCTTTTCTTGCACTAATAGTTGAATTTGTCATGCGTTCTCTGAGGTGGCCAGTCTGGTCTTGTTCAAGTTTTTGTTTTTGTTTTTTCTTTGCTGTGAGCTTTCTAACGTCCTTTCTCATTTAACAGGTCGTCATGGAGATGGAGGTTATTGGCCAGTTGACACAAATTTGATAGATAGAAGCACACTTAATGGTAAGTATGCAAATAAGATTGCATTGGATTAGTTTTAATTATTAATTGGTTAATCCTGAAGTCTTTTTAAAATTCATCCTAGACTTTGAGTGCCAAGAACTCTGGGCATGAGTGCCTTATGGGAACACCAGAAGTATGAAAGAATAAGCCAGTTTGGGGGCTAGTCTACAAGAGATTACAAAAGCTAAACTAACAAAAAAAAAAAGAATTTGCACTGAAGACTAACAGATTTGGCAAGAGGGTCTACCCAAAAAATTCCATTGACAGGGACATTTCATAATGGATGTCAAACTGATAAGTGAAATTCAATTGTGATTGGTTATCTGATACAACTTCATAACCATCAAATAGCAGTGGGGCACATTGGAGACAGGAATTACACAAAGAATTTTTGGATTTTTTCAACACTGGGTTTCATAAATTAAAATGAACATGGATATTTAGCCTAAAGTCAGAATATATTGGAAGAATATCTTTACCTCAAAACAAGTCTTTATAATAAGCAATCTAGATTTCATTCTTTTCTTCTATTATGCTCTTTTCTTTAAAACATCCCCACAAATTTGACATTACCATTCATATAAGCTACAAGCTATTAGACTAAATATATTATACTAGGCAATGTTTCTTGATGTTATCAATCATTAGATAAACAAGCATTTCTTAAGCACCAATTATTATATATACCAGGTACTATGCTGAATATATACATGTAAGCCTATGTATATATACAAATACGTACAAATAGACACACATATATATACATACAAATGTGTATATATGTATATATGTGTGTGTGTGTGTGTATTTATGCCCAGCTTTATTGAAGCTAAAGACAGTGAGTGAGAAATACTATGGCATATTTGTGTGCTTCTTCTTGACCTTGTCCTAACCAGAGCCTCAGTAGTCCTGAAAGTGACCTCTCCCAGAAGTGCTCTGCCCATGCATAAGATATAGGGAAAAGAGCACAGAATTTGGAGTTAGGCAAGACCTAGACTTGAATTCCATCTTTGACATGCTAGTTGTATAATCATGGACAAGTCTCTCAACATCTTTGAACCTCAACTTCCTCAACTTTAAAATGGGACTAATAATACCTATAGTATCTACCTCACATGGTTGGAATAAGTCTCAAAACAGGCACTGTAAATTAAAATTAATTTGAAGTCAAGTGCTTTTTAAATTTTAAAGTACTATAAATGGCTGCTACTATTGTCTGTGGTCATCATTCCTTCACCCCACCAGGTGACCATTGAGTAATAAAGCATAAGATTCTGCAGGTCAGCTTTCCTTTCTGCAAGATCAGCATATCAACCCTGGTAATATATAGTACAGTCATCAAAGGAAATAACAGTGATGATCTGAAAGAGTCAGTATATATTTGCAGTCTTCCTTGGACTAATAGATACATCCTATAGTGACTCAGGCTAGAGATCTAGGCTTGATTATTTTCATTTAGAGCAACATATTTAAATATTTGTTGTTTCTGTGAAAATTTTGACATGAGTATTTCCTCTGGAAAAATTTCTGGACTTAATGCCCTGGAGAGTAGTAACTAAGCTGCTGATGGCAGCATTCTTCATGTACTATTTTCTTTAGACTCAATCAACCCTTTCCCACTTTTTTTTGCACCCTTACATTCACAGGAAAGAATGTAGTTAATTCCCAGCATCCTTTGAGAAAGTCAGCATACAGTAGTTCTAGACACATAACTTCAGACACTATAACTTGAGAGGGATGTGTGGGGTCAGGTCATTTTAGGTCACGGGTAGGCTTTCTAACATGGTGAAAAATAGACAAACTAAAGTGAGATTTGAGTCCTGGCTTCACCATAATTGGTCATATAATAACAATATTAATAATAATAACAACTAGTATTCATATGGTACTTTAAATTTTGCAAAGCAATTTACAAATATATTATTATCTGACCCTTAAAACAACCCTCGGAGGTAGATGCTATCATTATCCCCATTTTATAGATAAGATGGAAGTTAAGTGACTTGTGTAGGGTCATATAACTAGTAAATATCTGAGGCTTGATTTAAGCTCAGTATTCCTGCATTTTAGGACCAGCACTTTATCTACTTTATTATCTCATTGCCAGAAAACTATATGACCATGAATAATTAAAGTCACAGTCCCTCTGCATCCCAATTTCTTCATCTATAAAATGGGAAGAACAATACCTGTCCTACCTAGCTCTCTGAGATGAGGTGAAAAACAAATGAGATCACTGATGTGAGGATTAATTGCCTAAGGTTATATATTGTGCAAACAGAAGCTATTAAAATTCTGGAGGTGAAATTTTGCTGCGGATATATTTTACTTTTAATCACCTTAACTTCTAAATGTATTCTTCTCCTATCCCCACCCTGGGAATCATCCTTGTAAGGAACAGTAAATGAATGAATGAATGAATGAATGAATGAATGAATGATTAAAAAAGGGGAAAGAGCAGTACAACAAATCTAACCAACACAATAACAAGTCTGACAGTGTATTTAATGTTCCAAACTCCTAATCCACCACCTCTGCAAAGAAGGAACCAAGGTATATTTTCTCATCTCTTCTCTTGGGCCAAGCTTACAAGTTTGGGCATTATAATTACATTTCTTGCTGATTTAATAGAGTTGACTGAATCCACTAAGAAACAATCTCGCCTTCGACCATAGGAAAGCATAAACGAGGGGAGTGGGGTTCAGCGAGCTTTTCTTTGTCCTGCTAAGCTTGTGCTCAGGTAAACCCATCAGCTGTCTTCCTAAAGATTTACCCTTTATGCCTCTACCATCTATACCCACTCCTAAAAAAATTTAGCTTCTAAGAATGTCTTGTCAAAGTGCCCCCAGGTCCCAGTCTATAAAAAGTTAGCTCAAGGAGCCTGTGTAGGCCCACTAAAATAAGAAAGGAATTTATGTGTCTGAAAGATCAATCTATGATCTCATCAATGTTGATGTCTCCTGCCATGATGCAGATCCCATATCATCCATGTCTGCCCATCCAGTGGGCCTCTTGTCCATGTCTGCCCTTAATTTTGCCATAAGAGGTTTATTCAATATATTGGAGGTCTTCCTTGATTTCTCTGGAACCTTGGACCAAATGTAAATGTGTAAGTGTAGATCAGTCTGTAACCCCATCCTATCGCCAACATCATCAGAAGCCCTACCATTGGCTCTCCCCTCCCCTTTCCCAAACCCTGACCCCCATTCTGTGGACAAATTGATGGATTCAAAGCCACTATGAATATTAAGTTGAATATACTTGCAGATGGTCTGTTTTTATGTCACTGTGAGTAAGAGAAAGAACTTTGGATCTAGAGTCAGAGGTCATAGGTCAAAATTCCATTTCTCATAGTTACTAGCTATTAGAAAGTTATTTATTTAAAATCTGTGGGCCTCAGTTTCCTCATCTGTAAAATGAAGATGTTCAGCTAAATTAAGGTCGCTTTCAGCTTTGATCCAAAGAATGGATCCTAAAAGAAGGGGAAGGATTGTGGTTTGGAAGAGTTAGAAAGTCACAGTTGAAATATGTTTCATCCCAGGGTTCAAAGATTATAGATTCACAAGATCATAGGTTGATATCTGGAATGCACCTCAGAAATCCTCTCATCAGACAGCCTCATTTTACTGATGGAAACACTGAGACCAAAACAGATTAAGTTGTCTAAGGCCATATAGTCAGTAAGCACCAAAAGAAAAAGAAATGAACCTAGGTTTCAAACTGTAGAACCAGTGCTCTTTTCACCATACTGTACTACCTCTCAAAGGGGAGCAAATGAAAATTTCAAGTACACTTACCCCCTTTAAATGCTTTGGAGTCAGCTGACATTGATAAGACATTACTGCCAAGATATCTGCCATGTTTTTAGGGTCCATCAACAACCAAAGGCATTGCTGTGAACCTTGGTGTAGAGAAGTCCATATTGGGGAGTATCAGTGACAGAAGATTAAAGAGGGTATCAGATAAGTAATTGGGAAAAACCTAATTCCTTACTGGCTTCTAACTGAATAGTTATTGTTTGTACTGTAGATTTAACCAATGTAAACCAAGCAGGCAGGAAATTATATTCTATTCAAAAGGAATTCCTAAGGGATGCTCTTTAAAAAAAAAATCAAGTTTAAAAATCTACATTGACAGATGAAGCTGACCCTGCTAAAATTTTAAAGCGGCCTTTCAAGTTTCTGGTTGAAAAGCAACTGTAGCCCTAATTGACATTAATAGGCAAGCTAATCAAATGTTTTCTCCAGTCCTCAGATCATGAGAATGATGGTAATTGAAGGAACTCATATATAATGGTCCTTTTTTTTAATCTTTCAAAGAAAGTTTCCCATGAAATATTTCATCATTTTATTTCAATTTGTTTAATCCTCCTGGTGAGAAATACAATAGTAATTAAGCTTGACCTGATATACAATATCAACACACAAGAGAAAGCTGTGAAGATAAAGCAGATTGATAGCATCTGATGACTGTGAGCTGGATTTTACAAAAGCTCTCAACTTCCTCCCTCCCATCATCTAATGGAGTTTCAGGGTGTTTGCATTGCAGAATAAGGGACTGAACAAAGCACCTGAAGTACAGGGGTAAACCTTTGCTGGGAATAACAAATTATTATAAGTTCTTTGGTTGATTAAAGCAGATGGATGGGATAGAAATAGATGAAAGGCAGAGGGCAGAAATAACTCTTTTGCCACTGTACTATCCCAGCAGATAAATGATAGGATTTATACAATTTAGCTTTAGCTCAAGCTATTACAAGCAAATCAGTAATGCTATTCGAGAACCCTTGCCCTTTAATTATAAGTCATCTATATTTTGTGCTTTGGGAAGGGGGCTCATTTTCCAATTAGGTGTAACAGTGAGATCCCAGGAACTGTCATAATGCATTTTCTCCTTTCCCCAAGTAGACTCCAGAGACAAATGAGCATTCTGAAATACGAGTATGTGTGTGTGTGTGTGTGTGTGTGTGTGTGTGTACGTAAGTGTGTGTTTCCAACTCA